CGAGCACCGCCGGCCCCGGCCCGGCCCCGTGCCCCCGGCCCCGCATCCCCAGCTCCTGCCGAGCACCGCCGGCCCCGGCCCGGCCCCACACCGCCGACCCCAGCCCCAGAGGCCCCGTCCGAGCACTGCCGAGCCCTCCCGATTTTCCCGGACATGTCCGGCTTTTGGGGATTTCCCCCCGGACGGGGATTTGAGCCACAAAAAGCCGGACATGTCCGGGAAAATCCGGACGTATGGTAACCCTAGCCAGTGCTCCCTTAAGCTTAGAAGCCTTAGGGTTCTCTCCATGGACATGTCCCTGCAGGCCTTGCTGAGTCACAAGGTGTATCTGCCTTCTCTCAATGGCTCAATTGTACAGCTCATGGTCCTTAATGGGCCATCAAGCAGGCTAGGCAGAGCTGATGCCAAACTGTCTGGGGTGTCACCCAGAAGCATAGCACAAGTTTGAAATACAGACAGACATACAGATCTATAACTTATCGTACAAAGGTGATACAAACATATAAACAAGATGATCATATCTGGGAAATCATAACATTTTTGCAGATATCTTACATGGCATATCCAGCTGTGACTGGTGTTCCAGTGGGCGCTAGCTATGGTCACTCAATTAGGGTGAACTGCAAAGTATGGGGCAGATAATCCCCATAAAACTGGGGGATAGTCCAATACTTATAACTTCACATACCAAAATGACACACACATACAGATTGCATAATCGTAACCAGCAAATCATAACCTTTTCATAGACACCTCACGCAACAACCGTTGTACAAGATTTGCTGCAACTATAGAACAGCGGTTGCAACAATGATTTATATGGTCATATTCTAATCTGATAACGTCACACGGGTAGCTCAGGGTGCAGGCAGGGAGTAGCTAGGGGCTGTGAGTGAGCAGGGGGTAGCTCAGGGTGAAGAGAGGGGGGTAACTCAGGGTGCAGGGAGGCGGTAGCTTGGGGCTGTGTGTGGGCAAGGGGTAGCTCAGGGTGAAGAGAGGGGTATCTAGGGGCTGTGTGTGGGCAGGGGGTAGCTCAGGGTGCAGGGAGGGGGTATCTCGGGGCTGTGTGTGGGCAGGGGGGTAGCTCAGGGTGAAGAGAGGGGGTATCTAGGGGCTGTGTGTGGGCAGGGGGGTAGCTCAGGGTGAAGAGAGGGGGGTAGCTCAGGGTGCAGGGAGGGGGTATCTCGGGGCTCTGTGTGGGCAGGGGGTAGCTCAGGGTGCAGAGAGGCGGTAGCTCGGGGCTGTGTGCCGGGAGGGCTCCCCTGCGGTCCCTGTTCCCCGAGGGCTCTGCCAGCCAGGGAGCCGGGTCCCCCACCCAGGTGGCTCTTACGGGCTGTAGGAGCAAAGGGGGCTGGGAGCTGAGGAGCAGCTTCAGAGCCCAGCGGCAACGGGAGCTGAGGGAACGCGGCCGCCTGCCCCATGGCACCAGCTGCCCCGCACTGCCCAGCTCTGGCTTCCCGCCTCCCACCGGCCAGGGAGCGGGAAGAGAAGGAGGTGGACCAGGGGTGTGGAGCTGCTCTGGGACTGCCTGGCGGGGGGGGGCAACACCCCTGTGTCTCCCCAACTCTGCCCATGGGCTCAGGGCTTCTGCCCCGTGGGGCTCAGGGCTCCGGAATTCAGCTCAGCTGCTCCCACCTCCATCCCCACGGCTCCTGGCTCCAGCCCTGGGGGGCTTGGGCTCTGGGGTTTAGCTGCAGGGCCCCGCGGACCCCTGTTGAGAACTGCTGCCTTATA